AATTAATTAAAAATATAATTAAGTAAAAAAAAAAAAAGGTAGAACGAGTAAAAGGTTTGCAAATTCAGCTTACATCAAGCTGTCTTGCTCTAGTTTGGGCCAAATATTAGTTTACAGGTAAAAGGTTTACAGTTTACTAATAAACTTCGAATATACATATTTGATAAACTACTATGTAAGCTATAAATAATAAATAGAATAAAATATTTAATTACATTATATGCACATAACATTTTGATAGTTCTTACAACAAATACATGGGATTTATCTTCTAAAGCCTTTAAAGGATAGCCAACCCCAAAATGAAAATTGTCATAATTTACAGTTTCTTCTCATATTAACTGTTTTTTCTTTTCTTTTTTTGTCCATACAGTGGGAACCAAAACCAACATTCTACATAAATATCTTCACACAGAAGAACGAAATAAGTATAAAATAGAATAAAATATTTAATTACATTATATGCACATAACATTTTGATAGTTCTTACAACAAATACATGGGATTTATCTTCTAAAGCCTTTAAAGGATAGCCAACCCCAAAATGAAAATTGTCATAATTTACAGTTTCTTCTCATATTAACTGTTTTTTCTTTTCTTTTTTTGTCCATACAGTGGGAACCAAAACCAACATTCTACATAAATATCTTCACACAGAAGAACGAAATAAGTATAAACTATAACAGATTTTTGGACATCCTTTTAACGAAAGAAATTGGACACCAAAGCACACGTGGAATGTGCCATGTACATCTCTCTTTTTCTTTAATTAAGTAATCATACTAGTCTTACCTTCCATCTGTTTTCCCGCTTCATCAGGCTGGCCTGTCTGCATCTTCTTTTCTGGGCTACCCCCTTTCTCTTCCCCTTGACAGAACGAGACAGATTAACATATTAACGGATAAAAAAACAAAACAATACTAATCCAATAACATTGTCCTTTCCGATTTGCTCACTTCTCAAAAAGCTCCATTCATAATTCATCCAGTTCAGAATTACCGTCCCTTTATTTCCTCATTCAGATACGGCAGCCGGTGAGATTACAGTTATCATTTTTAATAATGGGGCTCCGAGACAAATTTGAAGCCCTGCCCTCGAGAGTGAGGGGAGGACAGCCTCATCTGAGCTGAGTAATCGATCAAGGAAATGGCAAAAGGAGAGAGCGGGCCTTGATGATGCTCATCTGTTGCCTAAGGTGCCGCGCGCACACACACACACAACGTATTTACTATCTTCCAAATGCAGGAGAAGTGCATTAGACTACTGGATCTCCTGTATGAAACTTAGAAGATTAAAAACACGACAGCTGTTTCTTCTGGCCTCTCATACTGCCTCAAACGGCTGACAGCTTTTTGACAGCATATGCCTGTGAGAAAACACAACGCTGTGTTTTTGTTTTCAGTTTTTAAGTTGTCTGCGTTTAACAAAGCTGTGCGGTCACAGATAGCAGGCTCGTATTAAGACATCAGCGCTTTGTATGTTTGGCGAGGTTTGTAAAAAATGGTTAAACACACACAATGCCAGATTTGAAAACCTGTAATGGCTTTACTAAGAGGATTTTCATGACAAATTGAGAGATTAGAAAATTCCTTGGCATCCAAGCTGCTAACCAGCCATCACGACATACTCTGGAGATGCTTCCAATTTCTGCACAGAGGCTTTTCAAAAATGTTCTATTTCAGCACGCACAGAAAACAATCAATCAATACACAATCAAAAAACAAAATGCTTTTTTTGAGAGGGAAAAAACTGGCTTTCACATCTTGATAAAAGGAATAGAGGCTTCCAAGCGGTCAATTCCTGCAGGAAACCTATAATGACTTTAGAGAGTTGCTGAATGCCATTATGAACGCAATTACAATACATAGTAATATATCACATTAAACACATACTATTCAAAACTGAAATATTGGACAATTTCTTGTTTTGTTTGTTTTCAGACTAACTGGAAAATGTGCATCCACTAAGAACCAGCTGGCTGAAGAAGAAAAAAATCTGAGAGAAGGTTAATCATTTGTTTGCAAATGCCACAAGATTTAATATTTTGTGTCTAATGATGTTCATTTTTAATGGCTTAAGTGTGAAAATGCATTTTAGGCCGTTCTCATAAACATAATTTCTCAAAAAGTGAACACATCTCACTTAGTCCATTAGACATTCAGTGACAGACTTTTGTCATTATGAAATAATTTCATATAACAGCTCCTCAGCTCTCCTTTGATCAGTGTTGTTATAGTTATCAAGTCACACATGCCAGAAAACTTTTCACATCTGACTAAACTTTCAGCGAATTTAGATAAACTTTACTTTCTAACTATCTATACATCATTACTGACCTTATCAGTGAGAGGAATAATCAGAACCACAATATAAAAACCTTAGGCAATGCGGTACAAGTGTGATAGATACAATGTTAGAGCCAGTATTAAGATGCACAACTATCAGATTATACCAGTCATGCTAATTATTATATATAGATATTTAGATTATCAACTTTTAAGTAAGTGTTTACACTGTGGGGAAAAACAGTGTGTGAATGATGTGTAAATCTCACCTGCAACTTGTGGGTCTTCTCCCTTGCCTTCTTTCTTCCAAGTCTCTTTTTCACTCTCCTGTTCAACTTTCTTCTCTGCTGTTGGACTCGCCTCCACTAAAACCCAAAGAGACACACATAAATAACAGGCATCTGGGAGATATATGCAGAAATGTCAATATCAGTTAAAAAGAAAACATTCCATAACGAAAGAAGTATCTTATGCTTTGAACAATATCACAGATTGAGATTACTCTATGTATCATGGGTTAATACTAACAAACTCAGTATGTCCTACTTCTAGTTGAACACATACTGTCAGAAGCAGAATAATCATGTTTTATTAAATATATTTGCTGGATTTCTGCTATTAGCATGCTACCGTCACACAAGTTTAAGAGTTTAAGATTTGGTTGACATCTTTACAGTGAGAAAACAAGTAAATGTGGAAACTGAATGCAAATTTTCAGTCCTTTACTCTCTCTCTCTCATTGAAGGAATTGCTGTAGGCGTTTAATTGATCAGGGACGGCTGGAAAAAACTTGCAGCATCTGGGAGACGGAGACCCTTTCTCTGGTACTCAACTGGATGCAGCAGATGTTCTTCTGTGTGTGTGTGTGTGTGTGTGTGAGTTGTGGGTTTGTATGTATGGCACTGATCATGGCTTAAGCCTCTGATTAGTCATGTCCTTTCAGGTGCACTCTGGGTATGAACATGAGAATGTGAGTCTATGATCTCTGTCTGTGTGTGAGTTACTTAAGCAATGAGGATTAAGTCTTGCATTACAGCTGCTGTCTTACAGGTGGATTGTGTGGGGAATCAAACCAATTTGGCTAGCTTGTTGACATTTGTGGAACTTGTTGAAATTGATAAAGATTTATTTGAAGTTGATTAGAAACTTGCCAGAATTTACATTGCTCAGCCTTCAGTGAATTTTAACTGTCGTTTTAGTGGGCTGTAGTTGGATTTTAGTGGGCAGGACTGCATTAAGTAGGATTGATGAAGAAACATGTAAAATGTGAAAAATGTGCTTGTTATTATAAATGGTGCATCTTCCTCTGTCCTGTGGACACGGTTTCCATTTCCATTTAACAAATAAAGTATGAGAGCCAAAAACGCTCTGCATTCAGCAGTCCATTTAACACAAAAGCAATAAGCAGCGAGAGAGACTGTTACAGTGATTTTACCATGATGAAAAGTGTTCTTAGGCACCAATGTGAAATCATTAAAAAAAATCATTAAACCTAGTAAAATGACGATCATCTGAACAAAAGCTATTCTGTCAGGCAGGTTGTAAAAATAAAACTCTGGCATTTTATGGTTTTTACTGTTATTTTTCTCTTTTTTATATATATTTCTTCTGAATGGTTTGTTTTGTTAAGCTCTTTGTTTGTACACCAATAAGAGATAATGCTTTTTATGAATCAGAAGACTGTTCAAAAGTTTGAGGTCTGTAAGATATTGTAATATTTTTGAAGATTCTTATGCTACCAAGGCTGGCTCAAGAATAATATTATAAAGTATTATTAGATTTGAAAATAACTGTTTTCTATTTAAATGTATTTTAAAATGTAAATTATTCCTGTGATGGCGAAGCTGAATTTACAGCATCATTACCCCAGTCTTCAGTGTCACGTGATCCTTCAGAATTCATTTTTATATGGTTGTTTTCTGCTGAAGAAACATTCCAAATTATTAGGAAAGTTGAAAACAATTGTGCTGATTAATATTTTTTGAGGAAACCGAAATACTTGTTTTTAGGTTTCTTTGATGAATATAAAGTTGTGCTGCTTAATATTGTTTTCTACTATTCTTTGATGAAAAAAGTTATTTTTTTTCCCCGTAAAAATTAAAAATCTCAGCTATCACATTTGATAGATAAATAAATAAATAAATACATAAAATTAAATCTTACTGACGGTAAGAAAAAAACGTTTGAACAGTAAGTAAATGTACACCTGCTTTGGTCCTCATTCCATAAATAAATAAATAAATAAATAATTGCCAACAAAATTGTCAAATAAAAAAATTGAAAAAAAGATACATTTAAAAAAGAAAAAGAAACAAAGGATTACAGTTCAAGGCCCCATGGACTCAAATGTACAACAAATTTGATGTTTGAGCCAGCAAATCACTATACTCACTAAAAATGGCTATAAATGAAAGGAGTGTGCAATAAGATTTAATAACTGTATATATTGTGAGATGGAATATTGGTGGACCATCACTCAGATTGACTTGATGAGTTCTAAATGATGGTTTTAATGGAGAAGAAATAGGCGACCCATTGCTTAAGACCTAGAGGTATTAAGCCGCCACTTTAGGGTGAACTGGAGCAGCTGTTTCAGCCTAATGCCTTTAATTTGCGTTTGGGTCTCTCTCTCTCCCTATCTCATCCCTCTCTCTCTCTTTTAAAGGGATGTAGAGTCAGAGTATCCATCTGTGTGTTTCCAGCTAACACCTGTGTCTGCTCTGGAGTGGGATACAAGGCCACAAAAGACATAAATTTTGCCCTCGCCCACACACACATACACACTCCATCAGATGAAAAACACAAAACAGGATTTAATGCACACGTGTCCACCCTGACTCCATCTGCAGGGAAAGCGTTTGAAGTCGCAGTTCAGAGGGACACAGACATGCGTTCACATAATCAATGGAGGAGTGGGAAGTGTGTGGGGTAGTTTGGCTGTTTGTGTGAGGCTCATATCGCACCACCTGGGCAATATGGAGCCCTGGAGGCCTCCATCCTTCACTTACAGATACCGAGACTCATGTAGTGTCCTGCAGGAAAGTAAGACTTATATCACCCACATACACACACTCGTTATAGCCGCCCGAGGACTCTCGATCTCGCTGCATCCCAAAAGGAGCCCAGATTGCTCACTTTATTGCTAATTTTTTAAGTGAATGTATTTCTGTGGTGTGGGAAAGCTGGTTTCAAATATTAAACCCAAGATGTCAAGACTGTTTAATCACTTACTGTCAGTGGCGCAGGTTTTATTTGAATATTAAAATGGTATTTACCTCATTTTAAAACCACAGGTGGTAACAAACATTGTGGGTAGGACTGTGCAATATATCACACTTATTGAAATGTTGCACATATTGTGAAACGTAAATGCTGGATATGTAATTTTCTGTTTTTAAATACACTAAAAATATTCGCCTTAAACACACATTATTACTTTTTCTATTGTATAACATTGAATTATATAAATATATATGTATTGTGCAGTCCTAGTTGTGGGTGAAAAACTGGTATGTTTAGCCAACTTTGAAAACCAAGTTGTTCTAAATTCTTCAAGAACAGCAGAATCATGGAGTATCACCATATGTTCCTGCATGAACTGACTATTTGTCATTTTCAGTTTATTTTATCATACAGAAGCCTGGCTGTTAACAGTTACAAATATTGATATCCACCAAATCAGCATATTAGAATGATTTCTGAAGGATCATGTGACTGAAATAATGGCTGCTAAAAATTCAGCTTTGCCATCACAGGAATACATTACATTTAAAAATATATATTTTTAAATTGTATTTTTGTACTGTATTTTCAAAATATCTTGAGTCAAAGTTATGTCTACATTTACAACCAAAAACTAGAGCAAAATATGGGAGCAGTTGTTACCTGTAGGTTCTCCTTTTTCAGGAGGTTTGGCCTCCTCGTCCTTGGATTCGGCGTCAGGGCTCTCGCCTTTGGAAAACAAACAGACAGAAAAACAATTACACTTGTCTCACAAAATCTCTGGACACACTAAAGACCCACATGCACCCTAGAATGACAGACACCAAGGCAGAGACAACAATATGGGTGTCATTCATTTTGAAGATAAATTATTTATTTTTCCCAAGCTTGGTTTGTTTTCCCTCTGAAATGAGATGTATTCAGCCAGAGTATGAATTTTACTCCTGTGGTTGTGTGTAAAACAGCTTGTATATGGGGATAAAATTCATACAGACTCTTTATTAGTAGGATTTGATACTGTTTGCACACAGATATATGGTCATGCATATTAAAAATATGTGAAAAAATAATAATACATAATAAATAGTCAATTATTTATATATATACACACATACAAATTGTATGTGTGTATAGAAAAACACATGAATGAACAAACAAACATGAAAAAACAATGCAGATACATATTTATGTGCCAGTTCGTACTCGTGATTCATGCGTCGCAGGTGCTCGGCACTCAGGTAAATTCAGATTTAGCCTCCGTCTCTGCACAATCTCCAGCTCCGCCTCACCTGGTCTTAAAAACCTCTCTGTTTTGCTTTTCTCCAGGGAACATAATTGCAAGTATCTCAGGCTCTTGGGTTCGGTCCAAGCAGAACATTTGCTTTGCCTCCTCTGCTTGGCGAGACTACTATTAATAATGCTCATAGCTACAGCCGTCAGAGCTGGAAGGGGAAAAGTAAATCAAAAGTTGGCGATAAGGATGTCAAAAAGCACTGGTACTTCGGTACCAAGTCGATACTCCCAACCCAAAACAAAACAGCGGCTTATGAGTGTGCAAACGCGATTCAGAGCTCTGCAGTCAAAGTGACATTTAGTGCAAGCTCAACGTTAGCCGAGCAGAGACAGGCTGAGGCTGGTTTTGTCCTCAGGTTTAAATGTAAAGTTTCTATTGTGCTACATGAATACCCAGAGGGAGTCGGGCCATGCGCCTCTGAGCGTATGTGTGTGTGTACAAGCGATCATTTCAGCGTGTGCAGTGGTGTGTGTCTGTCGACGCACATGTTCTGATGTCTGTCTGTGTATGTTTGTGTGGATTGGAGCGAGGTGTCTCATTAAACAGATGCACCCCCAAAACACACACACACACACACACACACACACACACACGCACACGCACAAGAGCATCACGGTAATAACTGTATCTGACAGCCACTCTCTCTGTCCGTAATGAGACAAGTTCAAGGACAACAGAGCCAATCCAGATCCTTCAGCGAATGGGTACAGCGTGACATGTGAAGCGTAAAGACTGTGGAGAGACCCAGTGAATTTTTTTGCTCACTAGCATGTAGACTCCATGTGTTTGGGTGAGATATATGCACACTGAACTGCAAAGACGGACCTATTTTGCATGTTTTCTGATTCCTGTTGTTCTCGGCTACAGGATATTATGAGAAATCAGGAAATATGTATTGGTCTGAAAAAGTATTGGTAAACTTTTAGATACTTAAGTCATACTTAAATATGTATGAATGTCATGAATATGTATGAATGTCAAATATTGAACCATTTGCAAACAAATGGTGCTGGAGGTTTCAAGTGAACCAGATAGTGTCCAAATACTTTATTTAATCATTTTGAATACTGCATCTCTTGTTTTATTACTTAAAAGCTTAGAAACTTTTGTGAAATGACTTGCATGCTGTATTTCCTAAAATTATTTGATATTTTGTTATCTAATGGAATTTCATTCACAAATTTTAAAATAAGAGTGTCTTGAGTGTTTAACTTTTTAGATGATGACAAACCTTCTGGCTCCTGGCTTTGCATTGTCACATCCTCAGTAGATTCCTCTGAAATCACACAAGAGAAATACACTTAATGACAAGATTTTTGTCTTTCTTCTTAAAAAAAAACAAAAAATAAAAAACAAGCAAGAAAAATCTTTTTTTTTTTTGTCCTTTCATCAGACTGCAGTGGCTAATCCCATATTAAAGAAGAGAGGATGATTGCTATCTAATCACTCCTGCTGCTGGCAAGCAGAAATGAAAGCACAAACTCCTCTGTGAAGAGGAACAGGAAAGATTCCAGCTGATGTTTGATTATCAAACATTTCTTTTTCTTAATGGCTTACTGAGGATGAGAAACTGCAGTGTGATTTTGATATTAAAATTTGATATTACAACATCACACAGATTATTTAATCCCATTTTAAATTTAGTTAGCGAAGTTTCAACCATTTAAACTCAGGATGTTGTTTGGTTCTAGTTGTGGAGTTGAATTTGTTCCAAGGAGAACAAGCCAATCATTGAGTTGTAGTAGATAAAATAATTCATTAAGTACAGACAAATTGCTGTTGCTCCTAAATTGAGGTGACAAGACGATAACACAAGCTAAATAGTAGGATAACAAGACACAGGAACATTTTAATGATGTGTCTTTCAGAAGAGACAAGCACTGAAGTAAATCTGCAGACCTGCTCTTCTTGCTTGTAAAATATAACTACTCGGAAACGACACTGTCTCAGGGCTTTGTACGAGAAGGTCAATGCCAGGAAAAATAAAATTCTCTTAGCTTTGAACAATCATACACGAAACGCCTACCTTGCTGGCTCATCAATCCTTCATCCTGCTTTTCATCTAAAAAAAGATAGTCATAGATAAACACAGATGTATTAAGAATAAACATGCTACTGAAATTCTTCTGTTACAAACAAAAAACAAAACAGAAGCAAAAACAACAAAAAAAAAGTGAGAAAAAACACAAATAAACTAACCGAACAAAATAAAAAAGATGAAAAAAAAAACAAAACAAACAAACAAACAATCAAACAAAACCCAGAAAGAATCTAAGCAAAACAAAACAAGAAAAAAGCAAACCAAATAACAGAAAAAAAGTTTAAGCAAATCAAAACCAGAAAACAAACAAAACAAAACAAAACACGTTGCTACACTACTACAGTATCATAACCCCAGCACATTGATGGGCATGTTAAAAAGTTGTTTGGCAGATTTATCTTCCCTTAAGATCCTTGATAAAATAGTCCACACATTTGTCTAGAGGAACGCTCTACTACTGTGGTCATGTTTTACATCAAATATTTATAATAGCTCTGGCATACTGGATGTTTCGTGGCTGCACTAATTTTGTGCTCTCTCAATATCTCTAGACTGCAACGAGTGCTGTCCCAACGGACAGCTAAATACATCTCAGCAAACCCCACACAGAACTCCCATGAGCCCACTGCCGTGCGTCCCACGGGCTTACATGAATGCGTTTATCCCAGGTGGGTTTAATTTTGTCCCTCTCAGTCACTTTAGTCCTCTAAACTCGACATCTCCTTCTCCCTCTCTCCCCTCTTCGGTGATATCAAGATGCTCTACCAGACTCCCTCTCTCTTTAACCCAGATGGGGTTTGGGATGAATTGGAAAATGAAGACCCTGACACAAATAATCCGCTGTGCTTGACAATGGCCATTACGCTGCTGACATAATTGGCTTTTTTAACAAGCTGGTGTGAGAAGCAATTTTCCAATGTCTGAGCAATTTATTTTCTCACCACCACTCTTAAAATAATAAAAAAGAAAAACAAACACAATATGCCAAATGATACAGCAGACCTTCATAAAAGGTACTGTGTTTTGTCGTTAGCCTTACCTCTAGTGCAGCTGTCAATTAAATTCAGCTTTACACACACTGGACCCCTCTTCATCCTCAATACTGATAAACCAATAACAGCAGATTATGATATAGTGACTTTTTTTATTCATTTAGAGGGCAGAGGTCAGTCCTCCAGTGACTGATGCTCAATGTTTTGCTCACTATATGAATTATTATGTGGGAGAAATCTTTTGGATTCTGAAATCCTAAGATGATAAATCATCTCAGTTTCAACGTGAGGTCATACAATCACCACATACACCAGTGAAGGATGTTGTTTATAACCTGCAGACAAAAGCAAATTATTCTGAGAGACGAGAGCTGAGTCATGCATACTTTCACGATGGCCTCTTTCATACAAGAAGCAGTTAAAAGCAAAGAACGCAAAGTTAAAATAGTTAAAGGTGGAAGGTTTAGAAGTTTCAAAATATGAGTAAGCTATTTTCTTGATTTTAAAATTACACCGGCGGTTTTATTAAAGAGAGAAACATTGAAATAACCTAGTATAGAGTAATCACATCTATCAAAAATTACTTCTTGTTTATTACACATCCAAACAACAAAAACTAAGGCGAGTAAAGACATAAAGCCGGTGTACTAACTTTGAAGCAAGAGAAAGGACATTTGAGGCCATGGAAACAAGCATTTGGTGTCATGTTTTATTATTTTATGATTTTATAAAGCCATAATGTTGAATAAGGATGTGAAGCTCAATGCAGCGACCCAGCAGAGAGTCGTTCTAGCAGCAGATGGCAGTAGTGTAACAGAGTTCAGATGACAGATGCTACAGCACACAAATAAACACACACGTTCAGGAGGACGACGCTCGCTTGCATACACACAGAAACGCTTCTGTGAGCTATCTAGAAAATATTTCTAATGCCATACATTTACAGGCGCATTACTATGGATCCGTAATCATACAGGATCGAACGGCAGCACTGCCTCTTTTCACACGGTGGGGAATTCTCTTTCCTGTCAGTTAGGCCCTCTGAACACAGTTCATGGTGAAGAAACCCGGCACTATGAAAAATGTATGAGACATGAGATAGAAAGGTGAGTGAGAGTGTCACAATAAACAGATGCTGCTCAGCGGCCCAGAATCTACCTTCTGTGTGTGTGTGTGTTGGCTACACGTAGCTCACGCAGTGCGGAGCCTTTTGATTCAGTGTCTCGCCCTCTGCCAGGGTTGGAGCTTAACGGCCGTGTTTCCAGCTGTGCAAAACTGTGGACATGGAGACACTTGAGCCACTATCTATACAATTGTAAAACTGCCCACCCTCGGTATAAATGCATCACTGAAGATTTCTGTCACTTGACCCCTCCTGCTCGGTTTTTCTTTCCATCCTCTTCTTTTGTTTTCTTTTCCATTTCATTGCCTCTATCTTTCCCTCACACACACATTCTATCTTTCTTTCTGTCAAACACATTTGGTTCATATCATTTTTTTTCCTATTTTGTGAACTGCAATGGCACGAAAAACTATTTATTGCCAAAACATTTGCAACGTGTGTGCAATAAGAAATGTGTAAGATGCTAATAATAGGACAAACAGGGTAAAAAAAAAGAAAAAAATCAAGTAATGCAAAATAAAAAATGTAATTAAAAATAAAAAAATGAAAGAAATAAGCAACAATTAATTTCAATAAAAGGAAAAAATAACTTTTCTGGATGTTTTAGTTTTGCTAAAGCATTAGCAGTTAATCTGTGGGAATTAAAAAATTTGCAAAAAAATTATTAAATATTATTATAAATCGAAATTACAAAAGGGTAAAAAGAAATTAAAATTAAAATACATTCATTATAAAGCAAAAAATATGAAATAGTTAAATAAAATGAATAACAAAATTACAAGAGTAAAAAGAAATGAAAATGAAAATACAAACATTAGATACAAAATATAAAGTATATATGAAAAAATATTATTTCATATAAAATAAAATAATTTATTTAGCCTCCAAGTAGTGATTTTAAATTAGGCTACTGATATGCTGGATTCTTTATCTCATAAGAGTGTATATTATATTAAACATTTTTCAAAAGTGCTATTAATCTCTTTAGGGGTAAATCTTTTTTTAAAATAAGGGAATAATACTGAGAGCACATTTAAATGCATAATTAAGAAGGTTAAACTAAAGGAAAATAAGACTAAAGGCATTATGAGCATAAGTTTAGCGATATAGATATGATGCCTCATGTCTCTTTCTTTCCTCCACACACAGACCTGCTCTCTTTTTCTCTCCCTCTCCAAACATGCCCCCTCTGCCTTCTACATCTGCTGAGTACACAGTTAACAGCTCGACCTGACGCTCCGCATCCTGATTCACCCATCTAACCTGTCACCTCCTAATCTCTGAAATGTCGCACAGCACACACGCTAAAACACACACTCACCCCTCAGGCCATCTGAAAAGCTATCCGGGGGCGCTAAAATGCTCACTCCAGTTCTGTGAACAATCCCTCTCGTTTCTCGGCGCACCGATCCCCCCCATGTATGGATTTCATGTGGATTACATCACAAATCACTTTATCCCCCAAGAACTCTGTCAAGAAGTCCAGTCTCTCCACCCAAGCATCTCGTCGGCTCTCTTAGGCCACAACCCGGCGCTGATGGGTTGGATTGAACGGATCGCCGCAGCCGGGCTAACTCAGACTAAACCCGCCAGCCGCAGCTAATGCCCCTTTCTGTCTGTTTGTCTCACGATCTGACTGACTTCTCCAGAAAAAGAGGACCCTCTGAGATTCGCACATTCCTTTGCTGTGAAGGAAGGCAAGTGGGAGCTTATCTGGAATAAGGTATTGTTTTCCTTTACGCTCCTCACAGGTAATCCGTTGAGGAACACGGAGAGAGTTCCAGATCAGTGCTTTCGGGGCCAGTTGTCCCCTGAGCATGTGAATGTATGAAGTGCTGCTTTAGGGAGAACAGCACTAATGCTTCTCTGTCATTAGCGGGCTGTCTAAAAGGCCCTCTTGCTCTCACCTCAGTTAGAGAGCATCCCCTCAGGGAGAGTAGTGAATGTGTAATACAAAGCAATATCCCACCACGGCTGTATATCAACTTCCTCTGTTCGTGAAAAACAAAGTTGCGGCCGGCGGGAATCCAATAGGCTGCAAGCTCTGGCGGAAGGGTAATGTGCATGCAAAGCTCATTTTCCATGAATCAGAAACGTGATTTCAAAAACATATTTAATGTGCCGCTGTACCTTGTTCTCTGAGTGATACCGCATTAGAGCGAGTGCATTTGATGTTGGCGACAGCACTAGAGGTCGAAGGCTGCGGCTAACACCTGTGGATAAATCATAGACTGTGCCGCTTTAACACACTTTGTTCTGCTCCTCGCTGCCTCGTAACAAACGCTGTTGATTGAGCTCAACTTCTGCAGAGCAAAGCTTTAATGTTTAAGCTGTCCTGTGAAGGTTAAATGCGGGGCTCTAAACAAGGGTGTTTGTGACTAGATTGGTTCCCATTAAGATTTTAGATATTCAAGAAGTTGTGGAGGCAGTGACACAAAATACAATCTGAATTTCTGAACTTGGTTTGGAAACACACTGGTAAAAAAAACAGTAAAAATGCTATGAAAAATGCTTTGTAATCTTACAGTAAAATTCTAATTTTATGGCTTTTCATTTAAATAACTGTTTCTTCTTACTTTTGTCTTATTAGTTACATGCATGAGGGTTTCATATTACATATTATGTTGTTAAATGAATGTATATTGTATATTATTTTAGTGTTGTGTGCGTTACCATGCTGGTGTTGTGTTTTTGTGTACATGACACTGCACAATAAAAAAAAATCGAGGTTGCAAATAATAATTACTGGAGAATGTTTTACAAGAAAGTACTGATCCAATTTTCTACTTTAAAATTTCCTGTTTAATTCAATCTTACTTGTCATTTCTTTGTAAATGTAATGAAATTTACTAGCAATTTCTGAGTGAATATAGTACATAATTTTTTTCAGTGTGTGTGCACCTTCTTTATATGTATAGTATTTACCTCAGCTTATGGAAAAGCTATTTCAGAATCAGAAACAGAATCAGAAGAGCTTTATTACCAAGTATGTTTACACACACAAGGAATTTGACTTGACGACAGGAGCTACCAGTGCAGAAAAAAGTACAGACATAGTGCAGACATACATGATAGTGCAGACATATATAGGAATAACACAGTAGGGATGGAATATAACACTAACATAAGAAGAAAAAAAAAACAGAAATTAAATAATGTACTATATACAGAAATAGAAGAATAGGGAAAAAATTGTATTGTTTAAATAAATGTAAAGATATGTTATAAGTGTGCAGATATGTTATTTACAACCTGTGCAGTTTACAAGTGTACAAATTTTGGATTCTGTGTATAAATATGTCAGTTGTGATGGACGATGTATAATTATGAAAGTTTAATTGTTCAGGCTGAATATAGCCTGTGGGGAAAAAACTGTTCTTGTGCCTGACTGTTCTGGTGGTCAGTGCTCTGTAGCGCCGACCAAAAGGCAACAGTTCGAAGAGAGAGTGGGCTGGGTGTGCGGGGTCCAAGATGATTTTCTTACCCCTTTTCCTCACTCTGGAGATGTAAAGATCTTGGAGGTTGGGCAGAGGGGCACTGATAATCCTCTCAGCAGCCCTGACTGTCTGTTGTAGTCTCTTGATGTCTGATTTGGTAGCTGAACCAAACCAGACAGTTATGGATAAACACAGGACAGACTCAACGATGGCAGAGTAGAACTGTTTCAGCAGCTCCTGTGGCTGGTTGAATTTCCTCAGCTGGAGAAGGAAGTACAACCTCTGCTGGCCTTTTTCACAATAGAGTCAATGTGAGTGTCCCACTTCAGGTCCTGAGAGATAGTGGTGCCCAGGAACCTGAATGACTCTACTGCAGCCACATTGTTGTTCATGATGGTGAGTGGGGGGAGTGCAGGGGGGTTCCTCCTGAAGTCCAATATCATCTCCACAGTTTTGAGCGTGTTAAGCGCCAGGTTGTTAAGACTGCACCAGACAGCCAGCTCTTTAACCTCATGTCTGTAAGCAGACTCGTCTCCGTCCTTGATGAGGCCGATGACTGTAGTGTCGTCCGCAAACTTCAGGAGCTTGACCGAGGGGTCCTTTGAAGTGCAGTCATTCGTGTAGAGGGAGAAGAGCAGCGGGGAGAGAACACAACCCTGAGGGGCACCAGTGCTGATCGTGATAGTCCTGGATGTGAGTTTGCCCAGCCTCACTAGCTGCTGCCTGTCTGTCAGGAAGCTGGTGATCCACTGACAGATGGAGGTGGGCACAGAGAGCTGTGTGAGTTTGTCTGAGAGAAGGTCAGGAATAATGGTATTGAAGGTCGAACTCAAGTCCACAAATAGGATCCTTGTGTAATTCCCAGGTCTGTCGAGGTCTTGTAGGATGTAATGCAGTCCCATGTTGACGGCATCATCAACGGACCTGTTTGCTCTGTAGGCAAACTGAAGAGGATCCAGCAAGGGTCCAGTGATGTCCTTCAGGTAGGCCAGGACTAGTCGCTCAAATGACTTTATGACCACAGACGTGAGAGCGACAGGTCTGTAATCATTAAGTCCAGTGATTTTGGGCTTTTTGAGGACCGGAATGATGGTGGAGCGTTTGAAGCAGCAGGGAACATCACACAGCTCCAGAGATCTGTTGAAGATCTGTGTGAAGATGGGGGCCAGTTGGTCAGCGCAGACTTTTAAACAGGCAGGTGAAACACCGTCTGGGCCTGAAGCTTTCTTAGATTTCTGCTTAGACTTCTTAGACTGTGGAGGTGGTGTCTTGTACAAGGTGATGTTCCTCAGACCAGTCCATACTGACGCCGGACCAGCTTTTCAGAGTAGTTTTTTTCCAGAGAGCCCCAAAGCTGCTCGTGGGATAGAGTGATAACCATCCTTTATTGTGGTGTAACAGTGATCTAATATATTACTGTCTCTGGTGGGACATGTAATGTGCTGCTTGTATTTTGGCAGTTCACGGGAGAGATTTGATTTGTTAAAATCTCCAAGAATGATTAAAATAGAGTCTGGGTACCTTTGCTCCATTTCAGTTATTTGTTTGGCCAGCTGTTGCATCGCGGCACTCACGCACACGTCCGGGGGAATGTACACATTCACGAGAATGAAAGAGAAAAACTCCCACGGCGAGTAGAAAGGTTTACAGTTTATGAAGAATGCCTCTAAGTTAAGACAGCATACCTTTTTCAGCATTGTTACATCTGAACACCAACTTTTGTTGATGTAGAAACACAATCCACCACCTCTCGTTTTCCCCGTTAGCTCTGCGATGCAATCCGCTCTGAACAGCTGGTAGCCCGGCAGATGAAGCGCGTTGTCCGGAATGGCTTCACTCAGCCAGGTTTCAGTGAAGCACAGTGCAGCAGAGTTTGAAAAGTCCTTGTTGGTGCGGGTGAGGAGAAGAAGTTCATCCGTTTTGTTAGGAAGGGAACGGACATTCGCAAGATGAATGCTTGGGAGCGCAGTCCGAAAGCCGCGCGCGCGGAGCTTCACCAGGGCGCCGGCACGTTTCCCTCTTCTGCGTCTGTACGCGCGTTTGAACAACACAGCTGTACCTCCAACTAGAATGTCCAACAAAACGTCCGAATAATCAAAAACCGGAAAAATGTTGTCTGGGATGTGCTGCTTAATGTTAAGGAGTTCGTCTCTGGTAAAACTTATAGAAGAAGAATGACAAAACACAGAACAAACAAACAAAAACAATAGAAGAATCGCGGAGCTCAGCGTCCTTGCTGCCATTTGCGGCGCCATGCTGGAGATGCTATTAAACCAGAGATACATTCATACACCTGAATATAAGCATTTAGATCTTAACTAATACAAATAACGAGTGGTAACTAGGCTAATATAATAGGGAA